GGGTCATGGAGTCAGAGCAGTCAATCATGGCATCATGTGTTTCTGGCTTTGTTTTACTTTTTAAAGTTATATTCAAGCTGCGTGATTTGTTCAGGACATTTTGGCAATCCAGGGCTTTGACCCTATGCACATTGACCAACAGTTCCTGAAGCACACAATGAGCTATTCAGAGATCAACACATTGGCAGGCCATCTGGGAAAGTAAACGGAAGTAAAATGCTTAGCTTGCCTGATCCTTTTGCTGCCAGCCGCCAGCCTTAGGTGACATGACATTGGTCTTCTGAGTCTTGTTGGGTTGAGTGGGCAAATCATTTGAGAACAAAACAAGACCTTTATTTCAGGGGTTCCGGAAACCAAACCTTAGCGCATTTCAGCTTACAAAAGCCTTTGGACTCTTAGACTATGACTATGCCTATTACCGATTAAGAGATGTGTGTCGGTGGGTTTTGTGTACTGCAACAAGCACAAGGACTTTTGGGTCTTCGATCTCAAGTTCAAGAAAAGGAAAGGCTTCTTCATGTTCCGTTCCAGTGTTGGTTGTTTGTTCCTGGCGTTCCTAGTGTTTTGTAGTTCGCCCGTGACTCTGTGGAGGCGAGGCCATGACTGTGCCTGTGGTTGGATCTTTGTTGACCTGCCTCATCACAGGCTTGGTGCTGCCACACAAGTTGCGAGTCCAGCCCTGTCAGCTTTTGAAGCAGTGGGAGGTCAAGCCTAGGCTTGGCTTCCTCACAAGGAACTCGGATGCCGTTGGACTGTGCGGGATGTCCTTGAAAACACCTCTGGAAAACCGGCTTTGCGATAGCTGCGGTGGTGAGCTTCAAGATTTCTTTTTCTTGTGGAGGGCTTCACCCAATTCAGATCAGGCTTCCCTCTATGCCGTGCATCCAGGTTGCGTGATTGGGTATAGCAGCCTGTATGGGGCAGATTCAAGGACTCGAGCTGCTCTGCGTGAGCTGTGGGATCGTTTTGGGGCAAAGCTGGGTGGCCACAGTCCAGCTGCTGCCTCAAGCTTGAGGGAGAAGCTTGATTCTATGGAGGGCTTGGTTCGTGAAGCTCACATTGTGAAGCGAGCTCTCAAGTCTCCATATCTTAGTTTTGCGAAGAGATCCTGCACAAGGAACGATGAATCTTGAATGTGTAAAGGCTAGATGTCTTTTTAGCATCCTGGCCCGGGGAAGGACAGGATCACACCCAGGTTGTGGTTCTGTCGAGTTTGACATTATCATTCGATTGATCCAATAATTTGATTGTAGCGTGATTGGGATTCAAATGCATCAATCCTGCATCCTTGTTGTAGATTGACAACCTGGCTGCATGTGTGTGAAAAATTGTTGATAGTCAGTGCTTGTGCATGTGCTCTTTTATAACGATTCAAGACACAGGCGCATGCATATCAAGCTCTGAGTGTGTGATGTGCGCTTTTGGCCGATACGCCGATACGATTCGGAATGATTTCGTTGAGTTCAAGATTCTTCATTGATTTTTGAAAGTCTCAGGTTCCAGGTAAAGGTGAAGGATGTTGCACAGTGAATCAGCCACCATGTCACTGTCACATGTTACATGTTTGTTTTGGCTCTGCTGAGCTGCTGCACAGCCGGCTGCATAAGCGTGGTTGTGGCTGGATTCACCAGTCTTTCTTTTGGCCCGCCTTCGGAGTCTTACTTGTGCGGGATGGCATCTTCCGAGCCCTATCAGTGCCCACAATGCCCTATGTGTCAGCAAGAGTTTGGCAGTGTTGACAAGGAGACCGGACTCAAGACTGGAAGTGTTGTTTGCCACCATTCTTTTTGACTAGACTAAGACTAGACTGACTAGACTGTAGACAAGGATTGGTTCCAGGATTCTGAAAGCAAGGGTATACCTTCATGTAGACTGAGTGACTGAGCCAGTTTAGGCGGACACAAATTTAATGTTTTTCTTTTTCAGAAACAACGCCATCAGTAACAAGCTCTTGGTGTGTCTTCCAACAATGGGGGACCGGGGTTAAAAGCATAAATTGTATATGTTATAAGTTATAAGTTATAAGGTATAATGTATAAAAAATACATAAAATAACAATATAAATCAACATAAATCATTGGCCAACCAAAGCCATAGGTGGAACTTCTTGCTGAGAGAGTGTGTGATTCCCTGAAAGGATTGCCCGGCAGATGTGGAGTCAAAGGTGACTGTTCAGCCTTCCAAGAACAATCAAACCGGAGTGTGCCTTCAGTGCCTATACGTATGCCGTGGCAGCTTTCCAAAGCAACCAATCGCAGTTTTGGTGGCCAAAAGCAAAGAATTTTCAGCATTGAAGGACAAGTTCCTCAATGGCATTTGTGTTTCATGTTTTGGAATTGAAGCCTTGACCTTCGCTAGGACCCCCCGGGAAGCTAGGAAGGAATGAATGTGACAAGAACAAAGTGACAAAGACTCAGACTCAGACCTTAAACTGTGTTGGGACTGGGGACTGTGGATATGACCACCAGTTTGCTGCCGGGCCATAGCCCACCTTTGATGCTCCACCCAGGTTCGACAACTTGAGACAGAACCACGTTCAGCATCTGAGCCGACATCCAAAGTCTCGGCCCAGGCACGAACGATGTGACCTGGCCATTTATACACGAAAACAAGAGGAAGACTATCTCGATGTCTATGAGGACAGCAACCATAAGTTTTGCAAGTTGTTGGCCCATTTATTTTGTATTCCAATTTGTGATCAAGCGTCCTTTTGAAGAACGCTTGAAACCTGTCAGGTCACCTCCCCCTGTCACCCCTGTCCAATCACACCCCAACCCCCTGATGAGGAGATGGATTGGGAGAGTGTCAAGGACTACTTCAGTAGGGTCGCTCCACCTGAAGTAAAACGCCGCTGCAAAAACCACTCTCAAAAGCGCTCCTATTTAGTCAAAGAACTTGGATTGGAGCTCCAGCCGGACTCTTGGCTCAACAAAGCAGTACAAAACAAGAAACAAACAGACAGGAACCTACTTCCTACCTACTGACTGTCTCCTTGAGAGGTTACGTTGAACTTGCCAAAACAGCCAGCTCACCAGACCCTGTCAATACTTCAGGCTTTCATAGACAGTGACATGACTTACTGACTGGTTACTATACCCACCACATGGATAAAATCAGTTTGGTGGCCTCCACATGACTGGACAGTAAGGATGAAGTTGGCAATGAAGGAGTCGCTACAAAGAAGAATCCTGGCAAGAAGGTCATGAAGGTTGGAAAGCGACTGTCCTCTGCTGTGATCAAGCAGCGTGAGCATGATACCAAGCAAGAAGCAAATGAAGCAGCGGAGAAGGGCAAAGATGGATTGACTGTCGCGGCAACAACTCAGGACAGCGCAGGGAAGCTGTTTTGACACCTCAAACAGACAACTCTAGCCTCTAGCCAGTTGAGCCACTATGAGTACGAGTCGAGTTGACTCTATGAGTCTATGAGTCGATGCAGTCTATGGTCCGGTCTATGCAGTCTATGACTAGTCTATGACATTGAACAGTTGCTGAGTGCAGGTGGTTGGGTCCACACACTAGGTACTAGGTGCGTGGTGTTCACCATAGGTGAATTCACTATGACTATGCCACTGCCGCTGTCGCTTTAATTTCCATTTAACATTTCCTATTGCCCCATATATTTACTCCATTGGTCCATTAATAAGTTTTCCCTACAGAGTGTCCCACATCTGCTGGGCGATAGGCGACAGTACGTGTATGTGACTGTTGGGTGCCTGTACTGGCTAGCAGCTAGGAATGTTCGTGGTTACTTTAAACAGTGCTTTTCAGTTACCCAATGCTTAACTACAAAAACAAACAACAAACAACCTCTATAGAGTCAGGGAGTCAAGGGCTGTATATATGCAAGGAAGAATCTCAGTAGGTAGCAGTGTAGCAGCGCTAAAGAAAGGTTCAAATGAGTTGTACTGGACTGTACCAAACAAGCTGAAGGAAATCAATGAAGAAACTGAGCAGTTTCGTGCAGTGCCACATGCAATGAATTTGACCTGGTGTCAGGAGGAAGTCGATGCCAAGATCGCAGAGCAGGAGAACAGCAGCTCTTCATCCTCAAGCTCTCAATCTGACAGTGAAAGCTCTGGCAGCTCCTCCCAGCTTCGTCTTCCGGGCAAGGGCAAGGAGAAGGCAAAGGCGAAGGCAAAAGAAGCCAAGAAGCCGCAAACAAGGAAACGAGCTAAGGCAGAAAAGGGAGACAAGGACAAGGCAGAAGAGTCAGGGCCAGTGCATGGGAAGCCTGGGGCTGATCAGAAGCCTTTAGATGCTCCTGCTTCTGCTGAACCCTTTACACCCACACCATCTCAGATGGAGATTTCCAGTGGTGTTGCCACCCCAAGTGGATCTGCCAAAGATCGAGAGAGTAGCAGGGGCCTCACCACAATGAAGGAAAAAGCTCAGGCTGCACTTCGGCAGTTGCAGCTTGTGACTCCTCCTGCCTTGTGGTCGCAGGGCATCAAGGCCAAAGACATGGACACCAGGGTCCAGCGTGCTGTGGACCTTGCATCCAAGCTTCAGAGCAAAGCTGCTGACTCTGCGTCCCAGGATTTGGCAGTGCAGTTGGAGACTGAAGTCAACAGGGTCTCCAAACAACATGACTTGCTTCGCGGTATTCAGGAAGATTGCTTGGCGCATGTAGAGGACAAGAAGGCCGACATTTGTGCTCTTGCCAGTGACTTCGGCCAAGAGCAGTACATGGTGTTTCTGACTGACATTGCCAAGCGCTTGGTGGAGGACTGTGACTGGATCAAACTTGTTTGATTGGGCGTTTGTGTCATGTGTGGACGTAGATTCAAAACAAACCAGTCATCTCAGGTCACATGACTAGAGCAAAGTGATGCAGCTTACGGTTACATACGACTGCATACAAGTTATCATATGAATACTAGACTATTATAACTTATAACTTATAACATTACATAGATTAGAACTCATAATACCAGCGTACACATACTCGAAAATCATAAGAAACAATCACCTGGTTGTGACATCATGCAACTCCCGATCATGCAGGCAAATATCAGCGGCAAGTCTGATTTGCTGTTCCAGTTCCTCTCCATCAACAGCAATGCCAATGCGAGTTCTCAAGGATGTCACCACTTTGGATTGGCTGCAGTCTTCAAGACAGAGTGGGCAGCAACATTGGCGCAGGTCCAAGTGAATGCTATGAACTATTGGATGGACCGCCTTCGGCATGCGTCAGCTGACCATTGTGAGGGAGCAGTCCGGTCTTTGCCAACAAGTTGGTTCAACCCGGAGATTGTCAGGACACTGTCCATTGTTTGCAGTATCCGGTATCGGTATCAGTATCAGTATTGTTTCAGTTTCCGTCATTGTAACGCTCCCCCACTCCCGTTGCATCTGTGATTCATTCTTGAATTCAGGCTAATTCAGAATTGTGATTACAAGCTTTCCACTGGAGGACTGCCATTGACTCCACTGCGCCCTTGACCTTTGACCTCCCAGATGCGACCCAGAATGAGACAGGCCTTTGCACCCGTGCTTTGCAAGACATCCAAAAGTTTGTGGCTTGCAGCATGGTCCTCAAGCATCCAGCATGCGACAATGACCTGAAGAAAAGCTTGAAGACAATAACAGGTTGCAACCTCTTCAGTGCAAGAACTGGACTGGTATTCAAGAGCAGCGAGACATTGAGGCACTTGGAGGGCTTAAGTTAGGGTTCTGTTCTTCCTCATGAGTTGTAGATGCGCAATTTGCATCATTCAGAAATCAGAACATTCAACATTTTGTATTTTCCATACCCTTTGAGGAGCCTTTGGTCCAGGGTGGTGGACATCTCCAAGTCCATGATTGATTTGAAGTCTGCTGTTGAGAAGGCCAAGAATCTTGTGTCGACTTTGACAGAAGTGCGCCAATCAATTTCCAATAAGGAGCCGGTGACTGAAACCATTGTGAAGCGGGTCCAAGCCCTCAGCTCTATCAAGGACTGCAAGAAGCTGCTGACAGAGTCTGAGGGTTTGAGTGAAGCTGATGCTTCAGCAAGAGACTCTCTCACTCAAGCATGGGACCAATTCCAACCTCATGTACCAGACGTGCAAGCTGAGTTCTCCAAGTTTGTCAAGTTCATGAACAAGCAGTGGCATCCAGGTCAGGACGGAACAGACTTTGAGGCTGGAGAGATCTCTTTGCTGCTTTCTGAGCATGAGACTGGCCTTCTCTTTGCTGAGATTGGACGCGCTTGCTACGCAGGCCAGAATCAGAGTTTCAGCGATCTACTTATTTTCTAGTTTTCTTTATGTTGGGTTGGGTTATGTTACGTTGTTGCTGTTGTTGTGTTCAAGAATGAATCTTTCATGATGATGGTGTCTTCGCCTGGCAGTGGAGTTAAGCTGAAGCTTTGAACCAAAGACAAGTAATAGACCAATAGTAAATAGACAAGACTGAGACTGGGTTCAATGACGGTGAATCGTGAAACACTTGTACTTGTGAGTGAATTGAATTAATGATCCCTTTGCATTGGACCAATTGACTAGAGGCTAGAGGCAATTAGAGGATTGTACAGTTACATTGTGACAGTTGGGAGCCCTGACCAATTCAATTTGTTTGTGCGAGGACTTGTGGAGTGCTATGTGACCCAAGGAACGACTTTGGCAGAGCAAACCATCGCCCTGATGATGAGCAATTTCATCAGAACCTTGGCGTCATGGACCGAGACATCCAAACAAGACCCATCTGTGCCAGAAGGCCTGGCTTTGTGGAAGCTGCTTATGAAGCACCTTGATGGGATTTCCAAGCTTGGGCCAGACTGCCAGTCCAATGTCGCCCAATCTGCTACCAATGCAGTGAACCGACTTGCTGAGATGCTGTATGTTGGGGGCAAAACGCATGTCAAGCAACGTCTTGAGAGTGATGGCGTAGAGAAAGGCATAGAGAAGGTCACAAATGAGCTTGCTGATCCTATGCCAGACAAGTTGGGCTGCATGATCTCCACCCTCAAGCAGGGCTACTCCTGGACAACTTCAGGTCTTGAAGTGACCGTGGAGGCAATTGAGAACCCCACAGGGGCGATTCTTCAGCCTTACCTCTCCCTCTATGTGAGGATCAAGAGCTTGGACATGAAGATCCTGGAGGAGCTTCTACCAGAGAAGCATGGCTTGGCAGTGACCTTTTTGAGTACTTTCGAGAAGACAGTCAAGGCCTACCTGACGACTGTGGAGCATGATGTTGAAGAATCACTGGAGGGGTTGAAGCAATACAGGCAGGATGATTCGTTAGCTTAAATTATAAATCCAAACAACATAAATAATTACACTGACTGTATTCAACTGATTTTGTGCAAGAGGCAAGAGTCAACAAATGGTAATTATGGTAATTCTTTAGTGTACGTGCGCGCAGTATTATTACCGTACCGTATTACTACTGATTACTTGCAGTGATTCCATACTCTTTACAGAATCCTTGTGGTAGAGCCTTTCCAAAGCCAATTTTGGGATTCAGAACTTAGAACATGAAGTTGGCTTCCTTGGCCTTTTGCAAAGTGTTTGACATGTTGAAATGTTTGTTTCTTGGCAGGGATATCATTCCTGCTTTGGAGTCCTGGGATATTGACCCTGTGATGTGGATCTTCGAAGCCACTGGTGAAGATTTAAGGAAGCATGGGGAGACAGTCGATTCCATTGTCGACGCTCGGTGTGTCTTTGGACAGCAAGTCTCCTTCTTTCGCGCTGTGGCCGCAACAAAGTCCAGCATCTCCGCAGAGCAAACGTTCATTCTCAAGGACAACAGGTTCTCTTCTCTCCACAAGTCACTGGAGGACAGGTATTGATTTTCTCAGATTTTCCAGACTGTTTCATCCAGTTTTGCTTTGCGTGGCAATTCAGATTCAAACTGTGTGACTGTGACAGGACTGTGTTTAAGCAGTAGTCAGTAGTCAGAAAATTCAATCCCCCCATTAATGCCATTCAATCCAGGACTTCCGGGCTGTGGCTGCAAAGGTCCTCACATACTTGGCTGTTGGAGACTACATCATCCACAGTGATCATGAGCGCTATAAGGAAAAGGGTGCCTTGGGCAAGGTCATGCAGTTTGTGGGAAGCGTGGGTATGTCCAAAGCCGATCTTCCCGCAGAAGTGCTCAAGCGGTTGGAGAGCAAGCCTGAGCCAGAGCCTGCCCCAAAGGCAATGACAAAGGCAAGGGCTGCACCAAAGAGAAAGAAGACGGCAAAAACCCAGCCAGAGCAAGACGGAGACGAGGACCAGGAGGAGGAGAACAAGCGGTTGAAGAGAGAGCCTGCTGCTGGCAGAAAGCGCAAAAGCAAGCAGTAGGAGTCGGCGTGCAGTAGGCAGCAGTTTGAAGTTTTGTGGGGCAGTAGGAAGGCAATGCAGCCCCTTTAGAAGAAGCAACAGCTACTACTACAGGTATATTTATTGTTGTCAGTAAATGCTGTATACTGATATGATATATATTATGTAGCAACAACAACCAAAACTGGACTGGACTATAGAAGATATTAGAAGATCACACACCATTTTGTGTTTGAAACTGTCAGCGGTTCAGGGCTGATGCTTTTGCAGGGGCTGTTATTGTCGGATTCATTAGTTGGATGCTAGGGCGCCAGCAAAGCGCATGGACTATTTCTTAACATGTGCGCACGAAAGTCTGGCATTTAGGGGCAGCTTCGTGGAGGCACGACGGAAAAAGACAGAGAGAGGCGATTGGCAGTGTGTGCAAATGTTTGCACATGCAGTGTCAGCATCAATCACGAACTGCAAAACAAACATCATATCATATACAAACGACTATATTTTAGTTTAGATATTACAAACCAACAGCAAGCAAACACAACAAACTTCACAGGATTTCAGTGTTGTTGTGAGTTGAGAATGTGGAGGATGTGCTTGGGTAAGACAATCAGTAGTAGACTGCCTGGACAAACAACACCGTGATTTTTCTTTGGGATGCGAACTATTTACAACTCTATTTTCTGGCTTCAGGGCTTGAACAGCCTCAAATACACAAGGTTTACCCTTCCACACATTGAGCCAGTCTTGGTCTGATCTCCAAGTCTCATGACACTATCTTTCTTGTGTGTTTTCTTGCCTTGTGTGCTGTATGTTACTGTATGTTTGTTCCTAGGGTGTTTTTTGACTTTGTTGCTGCGTCTTTGTTGCGTCATCTTATTTTATTTTGCTTAGGTTATGAAATAGTTCTGCAGCTTTTAATAGAACATATGAAATAGTTCTGCTGCATACTTGGGAAATATGAAATAGTTCTTGAGGTTTTTGTGTCAAATATGAAATAGTTCTGAGGATGTTAGTAAAAAATATGAAATAGTTCTACTAATCTTTGAGCAACTTATGAAATAGTTTCTGTTGATGTTTTTGTATGAGTCTGGTAAATATGAATTAGTTCTCATAGGTTCCTGGCAAATATGAATTAGTTCTCATAGGTTCCTGATATTTATGAATTAGTTCCTGAAGCTTCTGGGAAGCTCACCATTAAAGAGACCAATAAAGGTCCCAAACATTGCATGATGATAATTGTGGTACATTGATGTTCGAAAACAGTATAGATTTGCTGATCGGCTGAAGCTTGGCGGTTTGAATCCCTGGTCGCCACTAAGGATTGTGACCCAAAGACCTCGTCCCTTTCATATCCCAAACATGCATTTACAATTCAACGATCGTTCTGACCGAAACACTCCATATGTGACACATTTCCCTATACTAAGCAATGTAGGCATACCTGGATCTTCAATGCGGCATACCGGGTGGTACGGTACGGCGCATTGGGCGCATCGGCGGTCGACCTGGGTCGACCTGGGTCGGTGCGGTCGACCCACTCCCGAAGACTCACATCGATCCTGCACCTTCAAAGGGGTGTCCTGGCTGGACTACCCCACACTACCAGCCTACCCATACACTCCATGGGACTGCCATATATGCCTACATTGGGCCCTCTGGCACCACCCCAATGTAGGCATATATGGCATACATGGAGTGTCTGGGATAGGCTTTCGTTCAGGTCACTGTCTACCTTTGTAGGTCCATGAGTGTGTCTTCCAGCTGTGTTTTTGGGGCCTTAGAAGGCTGGCAGCCTTGGGTGTCTTCACTGGCGACCTAAGAGTTGTCGAATGGTCCATCATTGGTGCCTACAAGCAGCGGTATGCTTGTGGGTTGTGGTTCCGTTTTTTGTTGTATTCGAAGTCAATGAATCCCATCATCCAAAGGATCCAAGAGAGGTAGCCAGTGACCTGGAACTAGGATCATTCTGGGTACCGAACTGGGATAGATCTATCTGGTTCTTCAACCTGTGTTGAATGTTTTCCCAAAACACCAAGGGGCTACGACGGCTGCCCTGCAGTGGGGTACTGCACGGTCCACACCGCGACCGGCAGTGTCCGCACAGGAAGTGGATCCGCTGCTCGGGACGTTTCACGTTTGAGGTAGACAGCTTTGTGCGGTTGCCCTACCGGCGTGTTTGTGATGAATGATCGATGAACATCAACCATCATCCAGAACACAACTATATATTAGTTTCTTTCACTCTGAAGACCGTAACTATAGTAGTAACCCATGGTTTCTTTCGATCCCGGAAAACCCATCGGTCACTTCCAACGATCCGCTCGAGCCGTCGTTTCGCTTCGACAACGACCACGACCTCGGCCCGGACGGATGGAACCTCCGCCGCGCAGGCGGTGGAGAAGACGGAGCTGAGCGAGCCCATGGGCGAGGTCTAGCGTGAGTGAGATGCTGAGATGCGAAGGTGAGAGGTGAAACACCTTCTCTTTTGGGGGTTGGGGAGTCCATGGAAACATCCAGGAGTTGGGAAGCAAAATTAGAAGTCCATGGTTCATGATAGAGTCGTCCGTGCCATGTTAAAGCATTCTGAAATTAGACACCTATTATATAATCTATATGGTTCAATGATGCTATAAGATGCTGCTATAGTACTGTCATACCATGCCTCGGGATCAGGGTCAGCCCCCACAAATTCTTCAATGGACGGGTGAGATTCTTCACCTGAACACCCATCAACTCCAGACACCTCAGGTGCATCTTACATGGAGACCATCTCCAGAATACAGAGGAACCCTTCTCACCCTCAAACATGTTAGCTGGTTTTCCGATCCCCCATGCGCTGCATCATGCGTGATGATGGGCTTATGATCCATAAATATAATCACCAATTATACACAACAGGACTTTCCGTTTGAGGCGTCTATAAATAGCCTCTGAGCGGTGATTCGGGGTGTAAAAAAGAACGACCTGTTGGAAGGTCCTGGTACAGGAATGGATGCCCTTTTTCACAGAGCTTCTATCGCAGCCCCCTTTCTATCGCAGCCCCCTATATGCTGGGCAAGTCTGATCACCTCGGCGCCTCCAACGGTCTAGCATCGCGCAAGGACCGATACGCTGCGTCCTGAGGAACAGGGGTCTTCCCGAATCGGGGCAGTTCACCGATTGATTCAGCGGCGCGTCTCCAGTCTCACCCAAACGCGACCTGCTATAGGACTGCCAGGACGGACTGGCGCCCCAGACAGACCCCCCTGGCACCACCCCATACATGGAGTGTGGTCATGGGATCCCACGGTTCGAAACCCGGGCGGTTGAGCGCTCCAAGCCATCTGTTCGAGTCACATATGGACTCCCCAGCGATGTAGGCGGAGGCGCCCCAGGCGCCAGATGCGTCGACGTCGAGCTGCTTTTTCAATGTTCTCAGTTTCAATCTGACAATGCGAAGGCAGAGGAGCTGCTGCATGAGGTTTTGGCCTCATGACTGGAAAATACTGGAAAGATGCAGAAGGCAAGAAAGCATAAAGACTGCATTCGAGATTGTCCTTTAGTACTGTTGACACGGGTGAGAATCAATCATGGTGTAGGATTTTTACACGACCAGCTTCAAGAAAAAGACAACATGGCAAGAGCTACCCACATCATACCAGGTACAAATAAATACGATCCAATATTAGAATATATATACCGGCACCTTCAAAGGGGTGTCCTGGCTGGACTACCCCACACTACCAGCCTAGGCTTCCAGACAGGGCACCCCGACAGGAGGGTCCTGGTATATGTTACACTCCCAGGCACTCCATGCATTGATCCCTGAGACCACCTGGAACCCTGGTCACAACCAGAAACAAGCAGTTGTTCCAATATGCCGCCAGCTTGAAATCCTTTAAATCGGAAATGGCTGGGACTGGGAAAACATGGTATGGTATTCATACAGCATGCAATACATGCAGAGTCCTTTGGGACTGCATGCGCAGCACCGTCGCATCGTCATTGGTCAGATCTTCCTTTGAAGAGCCTGGTACATCCGTGGCACCATAGTGCGGCCACCACTGCGATCCCTATTGGCTGGTTGTGCCAATATCAATCATCATGGTGGAGACGTGGCAAACTCGGAACAGATCCTCGAACTGCAACTCTGAAGCACTCCTTGTGAAGTGCCCCACCCCCAACTCAGAGACAGGCAGGTCCGCTTCGGACGTGGAAAAAGTTGCACCCACCCAGGTGTTGATGGTCGATGACGATAGTGGGTTGGTTGAGCTAAGAACTCGATCAACCCAAGACTTCGAGGGTCGCAAGTGGTGACCAGGCGATTGTTTGACTTTCTCAAGATTGACTCTCAAACTGCTCCAAGCCATGCTATGAGAGCCCCCCTTTTTTTGGCCCCAGCGAAGCTGAGCAAGGCCAAGATTTAAAGAGTTTCTCAATCAGTTGGCATCCGCCAGGTGATTTTCTCCTGCTGATGGAAGGCTTGGAGATTCACGATCTTAAGTTTCCTTTCATCAACAGCTGCGCCACCATCGTTTCAAAGTTCTGGGGGTTCACTCGGGTGATCAAGATAATGTAGGACCAGGCTGTGGAGAAAAGACCCCGAGCTCTGGCTCTTCATGTTTCTTCCAATCATCCGAGTGGAGCGCCCCCGCAAATTGCGGTCTGGTCGATTGTTGGTCTAGGCTGCCGAACGGTGGTGAGTTTCGACCACCTTTCAGCCTGCGACAACACGCAGGTGCAAGTGGATGCGACTCGAACGATTCGGGAGTCCATCTTCCGAAAACTGGTGGAGGTTGTTGGAGACTTGGAAGAGAGGTTCACTGCCATATTCCCTCAATTAAGCAATTGGCCTATACACATGTAAGTAACCCTACGGGTCCAGGACCATCCGAATCGGATGTCCTTTGACCCCCCAAGACCATTCCCTGGAAGTACGAACTCACCTCCAAGACCATCCGAAGTACGGAGGTACCTGGACCCGAACTGGGTAAGTTAATTTTTAATAGAGGGAGTAGACCTGGTGGGAGCGCTCGGACGCGGCTCTTTCACGGAGTCTTCCCCCTGGCCGGGGTCGCAAGGCCTAGGGCTCCAGTCGTGCCTCCTCAGAAGGTATGATTGGACCCTCCTGGCACCCACCCCAGTCCCACCTTCAGGTTCGGTACGACTGGAGGCCAAACGGGTCCCTGCCTATGTTCCTTCTTGCAGGGAGGTCTCCCCACTGGGGATCGATACACCTCGGACGTCGAACCACAGGTCGTCCATGGGTTTGGCACGGTGAGGAGTGAGGAGTTCGGTCGGTCAAGAATTCACACCAACAGGTGGTTTGGCAGCACAGGATAGCACAGGTCACCGGTTTGGCCATGTTTGGCAAGTTTTTCGGTGTTCCAGATTCTATAGACCAGCTGAGTTTCTGGAACCAATGGAGTATTTTGTGTGTTCCTTTGGACCACTGTGATAAATTGTAAATTAGATTCCGGATAGTTTCAGGGAGAAGAGTGCGGGAACGGGAAGTCCCCCGCAAAACCTACCAAAGTGGGGTTTCTGAGGCCTCTTCCAAGCAATGCAGTTTGGACCAATGGCTAAGACTGCATGGTATGGACCATACCTCTTAGCTCGCTCTTTCCATTTTGCACCAGACAACCAGGCAGCACGCCATTTAGCTTGCCGCCGCGCAGGCGTTGGGGCATAGCCTCTCGGGTGATGTTGGAGCGGATGGGATCTTCATTCCACCCGTCCCGGGCGAACTCATGCAGGCGAGGAGGCCCAGGCAACATGTCGTCCCAGACCAGGCGGACCGGGTGGATCCGGTGGACCTGAGGGTCCCATGGATGGTCGCACGGTGTGGGAACTGTGTCCTTCTCCGGGTGTCTGCGTGGCGTTCGGTGACGATGCCGAGACTCAACAAGAAGAGGCGATAGAGGAGATTCTGAAGCTAGATATGGCCTGTGGGTCAAAACCTGGAGCCCCAAAGGGTAATTAGCTTCATCTCCCAAGGTATCCTTGTTTTGACCAGTCATTTCCCATGGTTCGCTGCATATATGTCTTCCACGGCCATGCGGCAACCGCAATGGAAAGATCCTCAAGGACTTGACATGTTAAAGAGGGATGGGTGTAGAATTCCCAGCTTCCTCCACTCGCTATTGCATCAGATGGTTGTTTCTAAATCCACCAGTTAGTTAGTTCATACTAGATACTCTCTATACAGAAAGAATCCAAGCATGCAGTCCACCCACGCCGCCCAGGGCCTTCCAAACTGTTACAGTTACTGGCCCTTGTGCTTGGGAGCTCGGTCATCAGTCAAAAACGCGTCGGTTCGGTAGGCTGCGCAGCGGAGCCGTGTCTCACTCGACCAAACGATGGCCTGGGGTCGATTGATCCAGAGAGCAGGGTCAATCGTTAAAGCTTCCCCCCCCCCCCCCCCCCCACCCCACAAACAAAACCCAGACGCGACCCACCGCTGGGACTGGTGATCGACGGACTGCGAGTTCCGGCCAGGGGTGGTTGAAGTCGGGGGTCAATTGATCGGCATATATTCCAGTCCCATGGAGTGTATGGGAAAATTACTTCCCCAAATCTTCGTGAATCCAATGTGTGAAACAGCATGGTATCGCGACAGAAGTTGTTGCTTCAAGACATGCCTTTGCCTCGTTCAAAATTCACAGATCCAAAAGTTGTGCCTTTTGGTCCGCACCAAAACCCACACCCAGATACTCCATGGGACTAGCATGCTTATAAATACCTATACCTTGGGCTAGTTGACCTGAGGTTATTCTTTGTAGGTCGAGCTTTCCAGGTGGAAGCGCGTGCCCACTTTTCGTGTGGGAAAAAATGGCCGGTGGCCACGAAACACCAGCTCCGCCCGTTGCTGCGCCGCTGAGGCGCCGGTCACGTGGATTGGACGACCTTCGTGGATTTCACCAACGTGGCGGCCGCAGGAGGGGCGAACTCGCTCGCGACGCGCGGGCGAGGTCACTAGGTCACTAGGTCACTAGGTCACCGGTGGCCGGTGGGTGGAAAAGGGAATGACGTGACGCTTGGAGGGCTTAGCCGGGCGATTTTGGGGTTGGCTGGTGAGGTTCTTTTTTCGGGGCCAGCACATGTTTGCCTTCGCATGCCTTCGCCAAAGACTTCATGTAGCCAACCAGAACATAGGATTTGTTCCCAGCAATCATGCCAAAGACTGCATGAATCCAACCATCCAGGAATCCGGAGTCTGATCCTCAGTTCCATCCAGGAATCCAGGACCTTCAGTTCGTGACCTCTTCTGTTCGTTTCTCAGTGACCTTCAAAGTGACCGGCCTTGACCCTGATCCTCAGATCAGCGGCTGGAGAGGTGGGGTCTTGACCTCGGAGACCCCGGTGAAATGGTGAAACACCCTTGATGTCACCGGCACGACCTGCGGCACGACCTGCGGCACGACACAGAGAGAGAGGCTTCCGAACCGTCCTTGCACTAGACTGACGATGTGTGACTTCTCATACTTATCTCAAAAGGTATCTCAAATTCCTCCGTGTTTCTCCATCGAAACCGCCCTCGCCTTCACCAACACCAGGAGAGCGCTTGGGCTGGCGGAAGCCGGGATGCCCAGCGGAAGTGGTGCGGAAGCGCTTGTGCCTCCATGGGGACGTGCGGTGTGGTTTCAATAGCCTACATCGCTAGATGACCCGTCAACCAGACGGATGGGGGGTAAATATGACAGTTCCATTCGTTTGGTCGACGGGTCATGTGGCTCTTGATGAATCTCCTCCCCGTCAGACATGAAGTAAAGACCTCTTCATATGAGGGTGTTTTTCGTCAAGATCCATCACCGAAGAACTGGATTCCTTTTAAGGATGTTGCACTACACAACCGGTCAACCGAACTCATTTAAGGCTCGGGTGTCAGATGGAAGAGGATGGAGGGTCATCTTCAAAAGGTGGAGCTCGGATCTACGCAGTCAGTTTGTTGTGAATGCACTTCAGCTGAGCCAGTTCGATATTGGTCGCACGCGGCCAGCACAAGGTGAGCAAAAGACACATCGAGTCTCTCATGAAAAAGATCCATTGGCCCCATGACCATCATCCTCTTTGCCTCCAACAATTGCAATCCCAATCCTCCTTGCTGCATGGCGCTGAAGGGCTGGCTGCTGGGATGCAATGATAACCCAGTGCAGTGTTGCAGGCTGGGTCACTGTAAGGTGCTGAACTCCCCTATGACACCTGCGTCCAGGTTGACATGCACAGTACAGGTCGAAGGGGCTGTGCATGCAGTGCCTTTGGTTCCTGGTAGGAATCTGCTTTTTGGTACCTGTTCTTGGTACTTGGTATTTGCTCTTCTGGCGTGCGTTTGGAGTGATGGAGTCTGTTCTCGGTTTGTTGTGATCTCGGTTTTCGGCGATGGAGTTTGCAGTTCATGTTCATGTGATGTTTAGGCTTGCGACCGCGTGCACACTTTCATTCTTACCCTCCTTCAGCCTTTACTAAGCATGCCTATCATTTCATTCAGTATATATAATTGCGCACTCGAATCGAATTCGATCTGGAAGACCATGTTTTCCGATTGGAACTCGAATTCGAAATCAAACTGGAAGGCCCGAGGAAGCCCTCCAGTATCCGTTGGCAAAAGGTAGAGAAGAGGGTGCGCTCTCGCGATTGTGAGGTGTGAGTCATGAGGACGTTGTTCATTGGCATGCAGCGGCTTGATAGAGCATAAACGTTTTCAAAATATTTAATTCTATATTTCCTGGGCGCATTCTTTTGAGCTGTGGATTCTTCAAAAGTGTGTGCTTGAACTTGCTGTGGCGCCCCACGCATTTGCGAACATCCAAGTCTTCAAGTGAGAAGTCTTCAAGAGAGATATAAGAAGTTCAAACGTCAGACGTGCAGAAAGCACGCCAAGGGTCTGTCTTCCAGCATGTGTATGCCTTGGACGATCGGAAGAAATGCACCAGAAGATGTTTGGAAGTGCCTTCCTTGCAGATCCTCTTCTGCGGTGAATTTGGCATTCTATGTATGAAACATCTCCCAACTTCGTGCGGGTATTCAACCAAACCAGCTTGGTCTGAACGACTGGTGCTTCAACATGGTTTGCGCACGGTTTGGGTGCGCGCGATGTGGTGGTTCAAGGGACTGAACACCACAAATCCAGTGAAGAGGTCGCTGGTTGTTCTGATTGGTAGCTACATCCTAGCTACATCCTAGTGATGTAGCTGTGGGTCCTGGTCCTAGCTATGGGTCTTCAACGATTGCCAAGCCCTCTTGATTGGTAGCAGTGGGGTCGCAGCTAAAGGATGAGGGGCTGAGTGAGCAAAAGGAAAAAGATGGGGGTGCCTTAGTGTTCTCCAGCCCTCGAAAGGGACAATGATAGAATTTGTAAAACACCGCCTCATTGAGACAAGCGCACCCATCTCATGGCCATCTCAAAGAGGCTCTTTCAATATCTTTCAATAAGGAAGCGCCTTATACAATTCTCCCATGTTTTCAGGCTACTGGCACAAAGGCCCAGACTCCTCCACCCAGAAACAAGAAGAAACAGTCATCCATCATCCACCCATACTTATCCATACTCCATCCATCCATTGTTTTCCGCCAACGGCCTGCTGCGCCGGCTGCGGACCCATAGTTACATCCTAGCAATCCATGGGCTTGACTGGACTATTTGCTTTCATTGCTTACATGATTTTAAGATGGGTTTAAGGGTCAATGTGGGTGTGTATTCAAATTAGGGACACTTCCCATTGGGGTCTCCCTGTTGAAATGCACACCCATGTAGGTAAGATCCCGTGTTACCCCCCATTTCTTCACTTTTCAGACCCGAGGTTGTTCTATGGTCCACAAAGTCTCCTTGAGGCTGTGAGAAACCGACCCGGACCGGGCAAGCGATCCTGGGACGTCAAGGATGGGAGGGTCAGCGATAGTGATGCCATGGATGTTAGGTGTATTACCAGCACCCTCCAACAGGTCACCACCCTTCACTTTTAGATCTCCAAAAGCCACCAGAGGAGACCTATTGGAGATGTTGGAGGGTGCTGGTAGATGATATGTGGAGTCCCAGACTTTGAACTCTTCAAGCCTCTTTTTCGGTGTTGAATCAGACGGTGATTGAGTTGCAAGGGACGTTCTGAAGAGAAGCAGAGATCCGACAATCACGAGAATTACTTAAAAGAAGTCAGTATATGTAGACCCAGAAGTTCAAAGACTAAAACATGACACTTAGATGAATAACAGAATAGAGTTTGGTGGTATCTTTTTTTTCAGAGTAGGTGGCACGAACAGCCCCTATATCCGAAGGAACTGAACGGCCCTTCGAGGCGACCGGCGAAGCTTTGAGGGCCCACGTCGAGGGTCCGTTCCCTTTCGGGGTTTTGGAGGGTCTCCTTTTTGGACTCCGCGAGAGTTGCACTCCCGGTTTTTCCAGGATCCACGTTGAACGTGTGGTTGAGTCCAAGTGAAAGTGGACTCAAAAGTCACAGACCCTTAACAGACCCTGAGGAGCTTGGGATTATTTTCTTTTCAGATGGAACTTTCAGACAGAGCTGATTGGATCACTGATTTTGACAATGCCTGGATGTTCGAGTCAGTATCTGGACCCAACCTTGGTTTTAGACGAAAAGACCATGATACATGAATATACATGACATCACATGACCCCTTTTCACCGGTAGATCGATCTACCTTTCGTACGACCTGGTCGACGTACAGATACATTCGAATTGGGAGTTTCTCACATCAAACCGCTTCGATGCATCAGATGTTGGCTCCAGAGGTAGCAGATGGTAGCATCATCATTCCCACCAGATGCGGCATCTAGACAGACTGCCGTGACTTCCATTGAGACATTGCGGTCTCAGTGTTGTCAGCACTTGTCGTCACATTGTAGCATAGAGCTCAGCAGCTTGGTCATCCACAACATTTTCTGGCTCAAACAAACATGTGGGCCAGAAGGATCTTGACAGAGACGTGGACATGCTTCATGTGTCCAATCCGGACTTGGTTCCAGCGCATGGGACCGGTATGAACATCTAAAAAGCACCAGACTAGCCATACCTACCTTAGCCCAGACCGCGCTCTTGCCGGAACAACCGCCTTGGGATGTTGCGTAAAGTTTCTATCAGATTATCATATACTCAAAAAACAGCTACTGGCACCATCTTGCACCCCTTGTTCAAAAGATGTGGGTTTGCAGATGTACCTTAAAGACAACAATAGACAACATGTTGATTTTACATTTTACAGAGATCTGTGAACTTCACAGATCTGTTTGCTCCATTTGGCGAGAGATCTACTGATCTACTGGTTGAGCCCAGGTCCCAACTGCTCCCCTTTTCTGACCCTCTGTCGGTTCCACCACCGCTCCCCGCGCCATGGTGGAGACGATCGTTTAGGCCAGGGCCTGAGAGGTTGTGTTCGAAGGGTTTCGACTTCGCCTCGCAGCAAAGGCGGCAAATCCATGCCATGCCCAGTCAGTGGATAACCTTTAACTTTTTTGGGGAGTGGTTCCCCACTAAGCAAAAACAGGTAGGACAAATGTAACTTGATAGATTCTATTTTCCAGGGACTGCAAAAACGATTCAAAACAGATCCTTTTTCCAGCACCACCCTGTTTGGGCAGTTCATAGACCCCCCCGACTCTCTATTTTCCATCTAATAACATTCCTTGGTGACTCCTGGTTTGGAGTTTCCTCTACCGAATCCATCACAATGGACCTGTGACAACTGACGTGTGACTCTTTGGAGGATTCACCGTTGGAACACCCCACGCCGAACTGCAAGCCGACTGAGGGCGGCATTCTGTACACTCTTCGTTGATGCTGCCAGGCACTCGGGCTGAGAAGGCGCCATGAGGTGGCTGGGGTGGAACAAACCGGGTGTGCTCTGAAAAACCGTCATTGGAGTTGCTTTCAACCAATACCAGATCCTCTTCGGAACGAAAAGACCATCGAAAAACGCAAAACGGCCACGCATCCGGGGACAGGAGTCGACTGTTACGGGGCGCTCAGGTCGATCCACGAAAGCCTGGAGCCAACGGTACGAGGCATGGGTGGACGGGACGGATGTGGAAGCTCGAAGGTCCAGCTCGATGGTCCGACAGGTGTTGGTATGTTTTTAGTCGTTCGTTGGCTCAACCTATGGGAGGGCTTAGTTGAACGAACTGCTTGATTTCAATAGAACACTTAGCACTCAGGATACTCAAAACCCAACTTCGTTGCATTAAGACGGTATTGTATCAAAAGGGGTTTGAAGAAAACACATTCCTGAGCACCGAAAACACAGCGCCACCCAAGCCCATGAGGGAGCAGGTGAGAATCGAGGTGCAGGCTCTCATTTCCTGGGCAACACTTTTCCTGCCCTAAGAATCCGGGCCCTCAGCAACACATAGGGTTTGGTTCAGGTCCGGACCCCTGCGTTTCGAGGTCGGGTCCGACCCCGGAGAGCCCGGACTCGGATTCTTAGGGGTGGAAACCAAAAACGTCGATCACTCCTAAAGAGTGGAGATGATTCGAGTCCACAGTGGTAGTCCTTTTCATGTCTTTTCATGTGTATTTACGGTCCTCCCTTGGTGCTGGCGGCTCCATGGTCCTGTTGTCCTGGTTTTGTGGATCAGGTGATTCTTTATTTTCCCGGTTCCTGGGTGAATCCCCAAACCTACCAAACCGCGCTTCCTGTTTGGGTGTCCAATGGTGACCTATAAGTAGTGCGGGGTTGTCCAGCCTGGTAACCTCGCTACGAAGCAGCTGGTGGGGAGTATTCTTTGATGCGACAGCCCCGGCTTCCTGGACTGCAAAGCAAAGGTGCTTTTTTCGGCATGTATTTTTGGTGCGAGCCCCAAGTCGCAACGAGAGGATGAACTGCCAAGGCAAGAGGTTCGGTGCTGCGTAAACACTAAAACCTCACCACACCCAGCTTGAAAGCGTGTCACCTTCACCCCCTCCCTGAGGCCCTGGCCAGTCTCGGGTAGGGAGAAGGCTGTTCATGTATCACCACTGAAGAGTTGACGCTCCAATTCATGTACGTAGACTCTTGACTCTTGATGAATAAACCCACCCAATTGAATGCACTCACTTGCGGACCGTCAGCGAAACGGGCGCACCCACGCTCCCCTTCCCAGCTGTCTGGGGGGTTGAGGTGGGAATGAACAGAGTGTGACACCACGCTATACAAGGAAATGAAAAAGAGATGTTCTATGTACAACTACGAAACGAACTACGAAATGCCAAACGGTGTGCGGTGGAGGAAACGGAACAGGAACGCAAGTCACAAACTGCTCAAAAATGATTTTTTGGCATCAAGTCCGTAGCCTATGGTCACCCTGTCCTCTGCGGGCGCAAGGTGACCTAATACGAGTCTGAGCCAAAAATGATGAATTGTGGTGAATCGGTCCTGGATGAATCAAGACTGAACCTGTCAAGCACAGAGATGAAGCAAGCGTGGATCTCACCTAACCGTTCATGCATATCTGGATCTTCTCTGCTTGTGTTGCAGAGGATCCACATTGCACTGAAATTCCTAATTAAGCATTAGAACCAAATTCACGGGGCATCAGGATGTCTTATTGTGTCGAAATCTTCACATGTGGGGTTAACAATCGAGAGCCTACATTAAGACTCCTTGGACCCTTCTGCATTTCGCAGGGCCTTCGACGGGGGATTCGCGGTGACACATGGTCTCAGGAGTGGAACTTCCACCTTACGGCGATCCACAGTTGAGCGTGCCGTGGCGGAGCTCGCTCTTTCGCACTGACTCCGTGTCGGACGTTTTTTCCACCGCGGAGTACGGGGAGAAAGCAGATGGTCACTAGTCCTTTGCTAAACCGTACGAGTATACGAGTATGTGTATCATAATGATCCATTAATTGTGCATTGTAGCATTTAGCATCTGGGACTGGAATTGTATCTATTAGATGGACGTGGCGCAAAATGGCCCACCCTTCTTGATCCTTCTTGCAGCACCCGCAAGCTGAACAGCTGTTCGTTGAACAGAGGGTATTGAATGAGGGTACCTAATTCTTGAACCACAGACACATGGTTTTGAATGGTACTTTACTTACTGTTTTGTTCCCTCATTACCATCATGTTCATCATCTCTATAGTCTCCACTTTTCATTCTCGCCAACCCGGGGTTAGAATTGAAAGGTTTGAGGTTTCTTTGGAGAGATGTTTGAGCCCCAATCGATGGGAGTTGCCCTCAAAAAGCCAGAGGGTGAACATTTGTATATGCCACAATTTCACCGGCAACTTGCATGGGTCCACCTTAGACGCAAGCTTGCAGATGGTTCTTGGATGTTCTTGGCTTTGTCCGAAGCTGCGATGACGGGATGTGAGCTGATTGAGTCTACAGGTCTCTACCAACCGAGATGTCGAACATACCCATTTACTGAGGCAAAGAGTCTCACAGGGAGCTCAGTGTTTGCTTTGATGTTTCCCCAGGAAAGGCTACTGTACTTTGGAGTTGTTCCAGCCTCAACAAAGTTTGTTGCATGCATAGTATCCTCCTCCCGACCATAGCTTGTATATCACCAAGTTATCCCCTTTCCTATGAGGCTGCGTCCTTTACATATGAGGTGTCCTGGTACCTTTTGAGAAGGTGAGGACGGAGACTGATGTAGGCGCCAGGAGGGTCCAATGACCTTCTGTTCGGTTCGGTGGCAGTGGATCCTATAGGGACTCAATGGCCTGGCACTTGCTTTGCTATGTTCCGAGCACGGCCTCGGGCCGCACGACGGAACGCGCTGAGGCCCTCTACTGGGACGCCCGGCATGCGCGGGTGACCGGTCGGGGGTTCTCAGGCGAACTGGAGTCGAGTGGAAGCTGCGCAGCGCGAGTGACGTCAGGTGTGGGGAAACTGGATGGAGATGGCCCTGAGTGGGATGGATGGATGGCGAACTGGAGATCGGCTTGACTAGCGGCTTGACTGGTTTTCAGCGTGGTATCAGGAGGAAAACATCTCCAACTTTGGTCCACTTTGGTCGCTTTAGGTCCACCTTTGGTTTATGAACTGGGTCCACTTGATTTGTCTCTTCAGGTTGAAAGACTTTGTGAAGACAATTCCACTGAAGCCGGGGGGGTGAAGAACTCGTGTCTGGATGTTTGGCTGGTCCCTTCTCGTTTGAAAGAGAGTGGCACACTCCGACGAACACATCGCACGATTTCATTCACACCACCCTGTTCGTAAAGGGAAAGGGTCTTTTTCCAAGGGGGCATGCCATCCACTTCCATGTTGGTGAGTCACAGTGTCATCTCTAGCTTGCTTCCCAAACATGGACATGAAGATCCGACCGGCAATAGGCTTCAAAGGCTCCAAGTGACGGAGATATGGTTAGAAGGCGTTCAGAAGTCCAAGCGGCCACCTTCAGCCCGGTGGCTTTCCCACCTCAAAAAGGGCTTCCTTCCCAGACACGACCAGTCTGGGACGGCCGGCCGGTCAGTGGGGTGCCAGGGGGTCATCGCTCACCCATGGAGTGTTTGGGATTCCTGTTTTGACCACCTGTATTGACCTGAGCCTTCACATCTTTAGCTTTGGGACCCACACCTGGGACCACAGCTTCACCTTTAGAGAGGAGGGGGTTGATTTTTGGCGGCCGTGTCCAGGAATCCATTTGATACCGGTTTCAGAAGATCTGAGAAGATGGATCATCCTGGACAGGATGCAACCTGTTGCAACCAGAGCTAACATCTGTTGCAACTTGACTTGTGAGTTCAACCCCACTCGTCCAACGCAGAGTTCCATCCAAAGCTAGAGGTTCTGCATAAAGAAACAACAGAAACGTCCGGATGGATCGCCAACGAGCTGATGGGCAACAGTTCCTGTGGGATGGGGTGCTTCACAGTAAGAGTGCAGTTGCACCCCATCCCCACTAGTTACCCACGTCACTACCCGCCAAGAGTAGTGCAGTGCAGGATGTAGTGAGGGATGGGGAGTAGTGCAGTTGAGAAAAAAAAACCAACCATTCTGCACTACTTGTCAGGAGCGTCCCCTGGTTTTAGCAGTTTTCAAGTGATGATCATTCATTTTCCCTAATGACGGCTGAGTCCCCAGAGCTGGGGGACAGATGTTTTAACTGCATGTTTGTCCCAGCTTCCGAACGGAGCAGCAAATCCAAGGTCCCTGGTTTTTTTTGTCGAACGGAAGCTTTCTGTGGGGAGTTGAGAGAGATTCTGATTTTTCAGGGTGCTTTTCTGCCACCGTTCGTTCGGCCTGCAAAGATCCGAGCTGAACTCCGGTCTAGAAAAAGAACGACATGTGGGACGGATTTTTGGGCATCCCTGCCCAAAAATAACAATAAATTATTCCCTACCAGCACCCTCCAACAGGTGTTTCCTGGTGACAACAGGTGTCCAGGTTCACCACCTGTTAGGGTCTCCAAACAGCCTGTTGGAGGGTCCTGGTATAGGATTCCATCAACCCAACCCTTTGTGAGTCCCTTTGTGGTTATATGGGTCTTTTCTTCCCAAAGAATCCAGCTGTTTTACTATACGGAGTTTTGTACTACACCACCAGGTCGTTCTGGCCTTCTTTCAATGGTCTTTGAAGGCCGTGGCGGGTTATCCTGTTTGGACGGTCCTAGCTGGACTACCCTGCCACCCGGGATCTCCAGGATACCCGGTTACCCAGCATCTTGGGATGGTCCAAGTTGAGCAACTCCACAGAGCCGCAGCCCCGGGGCCAAAGGTGCGGCCTTCTTTGATTGGTATTTGGACTACACCAGGCGCTGCGGTACGGGTGCGGTACACGAGTCGTCGCGAAGTCGTTTGCGCTTCGATCCCTTTCGAACCACGATGCCACGTTGGCCGAGCATGGAAGTCATGGGGAGTACTGGCTTTGTGGTGGGACTGGTGGTGGGGGCTATCAAGGTGTTGATGTGTGGTTGCCCTGCAACCCGCACAAATGATTTGGGCACAGTGAGTTCGATAGCACTAATACTCCTAGAAAATGAAATCAAGAACCCGTCCCTTGAATTGCTCCATGTATGCAGAATATTGTTGATGTTTTTTCAGTCAGACCTTGTATTCAGTACTGTGATGTACCGTGTGTTCTAATTTGTTTCGATCATTTCAAGGTATGGAAAAAGCTCCTAGTGGTTTTCGTGTTTTCCTCGTGCCTGGAAATGGTTCGGTTCCAAGTTCCATCTGAGTTTTGTTGGGTTTTCACTGTTTTCACCGAAGATCCAACACCCACGACCTATCTGGAACTGCGTCGGACTGCCCCAGACAGACCCTCTGGCACCACCTGATCTGGCCTGATCGGTAGTCCTATGCCAGTCACCATCTGTCCTTGGGGAATCGACTGATTCTCATTCCGGATGGGTCAGGGGTGGGAGCAGTCAGGGTTTGCGGGAGCAGGACACGGGCTGTTGGGTTAACAGATCAATACTTGCACCACTGAAAGGATACCCCCTTGAAGACTAACTGAACCCTGAAAACCACATAGGTTCATAGAGGAAAACCATCTTCCTGGGGCCAGGACGTCAGGGTCCAGTTATCGGGCGGGTCGTTTTGAATTGTCATGAAGATCGGGGTTGAACCATGGTTAACAATGACCCGTTTGGCCTCCAGTCGTACCGAACCGTTTCGTTTCCGTGGGACTGGGGTGGGTGCGAGGAGGGTCCAGTCATACAGCTTCTGAGGAGGTACCTGGAGGTGTATGGTATGGTTAAATTAATGGTTTAATTGACATATCCAACCCCATAAGTTCCAGTTCCTGCTTTGGAGGGTCCAGGTTTACGAGGGGCCAGCGAGATGTTCGGATTGAAGCAAATGAATGAGCGTATCAAATGGGTACAAACCCATAGATTGAGCTAGCTGGATCCTCCAAACCCACCCCAAACATACCAAGGCCGACCTTCTGAAGGCAAACAATTTCTTGGGGAATCTCCTGTTAATTCTTGGGGGCTTGTATGTTGTTTGTCCAAGTTGGTTTAGTACTCCCCGGCTCTCCTCCCAGGCTCTCCACGCTTTTGTTGCGCAGGCTCAGAGGAATCTTTCTTCAAGAGTGTGGCACTCAGGTTGATGTGAGTCCTGGATACTAGATATAGCCTATCTGAGTTTGAAGGCTTCAGCGGACCCCCTACACATCCTGCTCTTGCAGCTCACTTTGTGTTTGGGAAGACCCCCATATACGGGTCGGACCAAAGGCGATGTCGGGTCGGACGTTGGGGTCACTAAAGCTCGCTTCAGCTTAGGATGACATATATGTCACATGTCCTTCAGCTTAGCATGACAGAAGGGAGAGCTTACAACTCCAATAAGATCCACTTCGGGCATGGTTTGGTCCAAGTCCACTGGCAATCGGAGTACAACAACTGCCAATATACCGCTACTAGGAACCCGGGCATCGCTACGAACGGAGCAAGGACGCTACTGGGGGCTCCTGGCCATACTGCTAGGAACAAGAAGCCAAGGAGATGTCATTGGGGTCATGACCGATTGAGTGGAACTGGCTGCATCCTCTATGGCCACATGGAATCTGTACTGATTGAATGGTGAATTTGCGCATTTGTTCTTCCAACACCCGTGGTATGTTATGGAAGAACTATAGGTCATGAAACACAGTTCGAAGGAGATATGAGTTAGCTAAGGTAGCTAAGAAGAATTAGCAGAATCTTTGACAAAGATAATAAGGAGGTCTTTGTTTATCTTTGTTTCAGAACACAATTATCAACACTATACACATACGTGTCGTGACCCACCATATTCGCCCGACCAGTCCACAAAAATTGCTCACTTGCGACTGACACCCACCCCCCGTACCCTCTATTGATTCTGAGCGTGTATGGGCAGCAAAAGCAAAAACGCAGCCGCCCTCGTTTTCTTGAGCCAAAGTTCAAAGTTGGTTATGCTCAGTGCTCATGACTGACGTGTCAACTTCACGAAAAAAGGGTAGAGTGGTGCTTAGGATTTCTCACTCCCCCTGATGTCTTTGACATCACTTGGTTCGCTCACAACTTCAAAGCTTCCGCTAGATTGCGAGTCTTCTGGATCATACGGCTTCTCATGTCGCTCAGCTGTTCTGGTTTCAATGCCAAGCCACAGCGGCATCTGGCTCAGATCTTCCTGAGCCAAGCCCTCATCCGCCAAGGAGCGAGCCCAAGCACCAGCATTGGTGTCCGTTTCACCTCTGGATTCATAGCCTTGCAGCCTCGCTTGATAGCCGGGGCTCTCACCAATCGTCAGCCCAGGCCCACTCTGCGAGGCTTCCACAGCAGCGGGCATGCAGCGCTGGTCATCCGGCTGCGCAGCCCTTCCCCTCTCCAAGGCTCGAGACCTTAGTGGATGATCTTCCCCATACCCACGCGGCCCCGGAGTCGTGGAGCGGGGTGGAGGTAGTGGATTCGAAGAGCTTGCACCCACCAAACCCTCTTCAGCCTTGGGAGCAAAGCGCACATAGAAAAAACAATAGCCCCTCCATTCGTAGATGCCCGGCAGGTCCGCATTGCGGGAGTCGACCCAATCATCCATGATCTCCTGCCGCTGCCAAGCCTGGCGAGTACTTTGTCGATGAAAGGCCACCGTCACTCTCGTTTGGGACATCCTCTCTATTCGAAATGGTGTTCCCCTGTGCAGGGGATGAAATGCTCGAACCCGACTTTTTCGCAGCACCCGAACCCACCATTCGCCAGCACCATCTCCACTGCCAAGGCATTCCCATCGATCATCGCCAGTGGGTGGAGATGCAAATCGGTCCAGCGTCCAAGGAGCGTCCGTGCCCAATCCCCGGTGAGTTACCGAGGAACGCAGCGCACACAAACGCTGCTTCCATGGCTGCACATCGCGCGCGCCCGTGAGGGTGCCAAGTTGGCAAGAGTCGAACGAACGAGCGGTCGACGTCGAATGTGGGGCAGGTTCATCTTCCCTTGCCCATCTTGTTTTCTCTTCCGTCCTGCCAGGGCCAGGTTCATTTTCCCTTGGCCATCCTATTTCCTCCTCGATCCTACGTGGGCCAGGTTCATCTTCCCTTGGCCATCTTGTTGCTGTTCTTGTGTGGGATTCGTTAGACCTCTTGTTGGACTGGCCATTTGCCGTCTTGTTCCAGTTCCAAGCTACAAAGGTTGCGACTGCTCCCAACGCAGTCACACATGCCAATCGAGCAAGGCTTCCAGTGCACGGCAATGCCGCAACCATTCCCAATGAGGCCACCGCTCCATACGCCGCTTGCTTCATGGCGTCCAGTTTGGATCCCGATCGAGATTCACACGGGGCAGCAGCATCGCGAAGGCCAACAGACTCTCTGAAGTTCTGCCAGGACTGAAGCTGCGTAATGGATTTTGTAAGCAGGTCGGCGCACAATTCTGCTCCAGGAATGTGCTCCACATCCCATAGTCGATGTTGCAATCTTTCACGAAGGACATGGCTTCTCAACCTGAGATGTCTTGTCCTCCAGGGGCCGGAGGGAGCCTGAAGCAGTTGTATGCCCGACATGTTGTCTCCCTTGAGTGTGAACGCTCCTTCTCGATCCAGGATGTTGCAGTGAAGCACATTCACCACCGCTCCAACGCTCTCACCCAGGGTGAACCCATCAATGTAGCCCAACAGCTCGCTCTCTGTTGTGCTCAGTGTTGCAAATGCCTGGGCCTTTGACTCCCAAGCCACCAAACATCCTCCCCACATAGCCATGATACCTTGGTGACCGCGGCCTCCAGCGGGTGCAAATGAGGAATCCGTCAACACCTCCAACCGCGACATTGACTGTCGGCGACCATGCTGATCAAGTTCCGAGGAGCAGGGTCCATACTCCAGTGCCAAGTCTGGGGTTGCAGCCAAGTATCCAATGACATGACGAGCCAACTCCAGAACACCCTTGGGGGATTTTGTGACCCGTGCACCCAGGTAAGCAACAGCAAAACTGAGATCAGGTCTTGTTCTGGTTGACAGCCATAGCAACTCTCCCACCAAGGTCTGGCATTGTTTCACCTCATTCGGGTCAATGACGTCCTCGGGTTCGAGCTCAATGGCCTTGGGAAGCGGCGAATACCTCATTGGAAGGTCCGGATGTCTGCTCACAATCTCCCGAGCATAGTCTGGCTGACCAATCATGAGGTTCGTCCCGCTCCACTTCATTTCCACACCACAAAATTTCTTCCACTCATCCTGAACCACCCAGGTCGGTGTAGAGCACTTCCAAGTGGATGCCAGCTTCGTCAGGAAAGCCTCAGCAACTGGCTTGGGGCCCATAACAATGAAGTCATCCACGTAGGATAAGGCAAACCCCGATGTTTCACCCTCCTCCATGACATTCACATAGTCCCCCTCTGCACCAGGTGCCGTCATCAACCTCCACACATTTGGCTCCGGTGTTGCGGTCAGCCAATAGTGCACACCTAATTCCCACCACCGCAGGCCACGGAGAATATCATCTCGATATGCCTGCCAGTCCGAGGGAGAGCTGTCCAGCCCATACACGGCCGCCTCAACCACCCACCTGGTATCCGCAGACATCAATCCAGCTTCTGTCAAAATCGCCGGAGGCTTGGTGACCATGAGTCGCGTTGATTTCCGAGGTGCCAACAAAAAGGCTGAGGACACGTCAGTGATTCCTATCGACCACTGTTCATAGGCCGCCTTCCTCAGTGCACACCTCAAGGATCCTCCATCAATGCCGCTGGCATATAACTCAAAAGATTTTCCAGCCGTAGTGGTTCCCTGCCTTTCTCCCTTCATTGTGTGAGAGGGTTCACATCGTCTCGCAGTGTCCTCCACCAGGTTTCCACATAGGACTATTCTTGACCTCTTCCTTCCGTCCGGGGCTTTGATTGTAGGCACCAGTTTTGATGGCACCACCAGCATTTCTTCGTAGCCCGGTTCACGGCAGAGATCCTTGACAGACACCGGTCTAACTGCCTTCGTGGTGCGTTCCAAGGACTTCACCTCATACTCCAGGGATGGGATCCACTCCTTCAGGTCTTTTCTCACTTGTGCCAGAGGGACGGTGTACGTCTGGAGGACTGCATGGACATTGGAAAGTGGCCGCTGCTCATCTCCAGGGTGTTCTTCAACTACCCCTTCAACCATTTTGGCCATCTGACAGCTCAGGTCAAAGTCCCGAATCTCCGTCAGGTCATCTTCCAGAGCCAGAACATTCTTTTCCACATAGTCCATCAGTGCCCCTTGCAGTTGTCCTTCTTCCTCACCCACCGCCACATCCTTCAGGAGGTCACTCCACAATTGCTTCCATCCCCAGTGTTCTTCGTGCATCCACTTCATCAACTTGCAGGCTTCCTCGGCCTCACACTCCACATCGCCGTTCATCTTCTCCGGCTGCTCTAAAGGAGTTTCGCAAAAGTCACAGCAGTTGTGCCCTTTCAACTTCCTCACCGATCCACCCTCCGCACCTTGTAGACCACACTCCTTGCAAACAGAGGAGAAAGAGCAAGACCCCCCCCCAGTCCAGTTGTTTGGCTGGACTGGTTGTTCTCCCCCGGAAGTGGCATGTAGTCGATGAAGTCCAGGATCAGGCGATGACCTTGGAGGCGGAAGTTGTGGCAACATCGGCTGCATCGGTTGTTTTCCCAATAGCCTGTGTGTTGGCTTCCCCGGTTCTGGTACCACTTGAAGCTCCAGAACTGCTCGTTCTGCTGCTGGATCTTGTTGGACCACCACCCTGGCATGTTGGACCTGTTCACCCTCCATCAGCACATATCCCTGCGACATGAATGGAGACGGGCCCATAATCGTCATGGTTCTGAAGGGTGCCGTCAGGGGACCAAATCCTGCTCTGTGCCATCTTTTGGTTTTCACTGTGACTCTCCCCCCAATCGGCAACAGTGCAGTAGACGGTACACCAAGATGAGCACATTGCCGGCGAAGCCGCTCTTCTCCAACATAGCGTGCAATTCCAGGCCACCACTTCTGATCCAGTCCACTCTCCTTGATGAGCAATCGAAGGCGCCTTTTCACTTGGTTCACCTCACACTCAATCCTCCCATTGGACGGCCCTTCATCTCCGCCCGTCATGGTTTGATACAGTCCAAATCGCCTGCAAAAGGTCTGGAAAGA